ACAAAATGAAAATATATTTGCATATACAGTGTTCAGATTTTCCTGCGCAGGTACCAACTTAATTTTTGTTAATGGAAGCCTATATTTTTTATGACATCGAATTCTACGTGAAAAATTAACGGGACTTTGTGTTATGATCCCTATTAAAATATTGATAGTTTTCGAGATAATCGACTTTTCATTTTTTTTCTTATGTTTCGTCACTTCTAGTAGTTGACATAATTATGATTGTATGACAGCTAGAAATTATGTTTTTTTCAGGAACTATAAAGTGAAGATGGCTCTTTCAAAAAACGTATCAAAAGTTGACCTGCGATATACAGGAGTGCCAAACCTGATAATTTAAAATTTGAAAAATCTCGACTTTTTCAAATAAAACACCCTGTGTTTTATGATTTCATTAGATGACTTTCTGTAGACCCTGTAGGTCCAGTTCCTTGGGCCGCACGTTCGCCTGACTTAAATAGTCTGGACTTTTTCTCGTGGGGTTATATCAAGGAGCGAGTATACGAAGTACCACCAACGGATATTCAAGTCTTAAAGAAAAGACTCAAAACGAGTTTCTAACTATAACGCCTCAAATGTTAAGAAATGTCCATATTCATTTTCATCGTAGATTAATGCTTTGTTTAGAAAATAACGGTAGACAGTTTTGAACATTTATTTTAAGTTAGTTTGCGACTATGAGTATTCTTTTTTCAAAATTCTATTCATCCAAATTTTTTAATCTCCAATTTCACTAATAACTTTCCTAACTACGGTAACAGTGCTTGATTTTCAATATGATAGGGATGAAATTTCTTCTTCAATATTTTATTTGTCAAGCTTTTGAAAACTACTAATTTCCTGGCACTAATATTTGGATTTTCAACAGCAGACGCCACAACTTTAAACTAAATATAATCGTTGTTACTTTCACGTCTCCTGGTAGTTTTCTCATAATTCGCATTTGCTGTTCATTCAAACCTTTCTTGCCCACAAAACAGTGGGAATCTCTGTAAATTTGGATTATTTGCTTTGCAAATACGTGCTGCTAGCAAACATTTCCCATATTTTGCTAATTCTTAATCACTTGTAGCGATTTTATGGTTTTTTGATTTATTTACAAATAAATGGTAACTTTCCAAAAGACTTATTTATTAAACTCAAATATCTAAATTTTTCAGTTATTAATATTTATTTTAAATAGTGTAGCTAGACAACTAATAAATTTAATAAAAATAAATGCCCTTACAATATTTTTCCCGACAAAGGAACGGGCGCAAATCCGGTATTTTACATAAATTTTGCAAAAACTACGCAACTTAGGTATAGGGAAAGCTATTAAAAATTGTAGGGTCTGCAGAAAGGCATCTAATGAAATCATAAAATACAGGGTGTCCTATTTGAAAAAGTCGAGATTTTTCAAATTTTAAATTATCAGGTTTGACACGATTTTCTTTGCCCCCTGTATATCGCAGGTCAACTTTTGATACGTTTTTTGAAAGAGCCATCTTCACTCTACAGTTCCCGAAAAAAATAACTTCTAGCTGTCATACAATCATAATTATGTCAACTACTAGAAGTGACGAAACATAAGAAAAAAAAATGAACAGTCGATTATCTCGAAAAGTATCAATATTTTAATAGGGATCATAACACAAAGGCCCGTTAATTTTTCACGTAGAATTCGATAATGCCATAAAAAATATAGGTTTCCATTTAAAAAAGTTAAGTTGGTACCTGCCCAGGAAAAACTAAACACCCTGTATATGCAAATATATTTTCATTTTGTGCAGCTCGGGAAAGTAGGCAACTCTGTAGAAAAAAAATTAAGTTATATCTTTTATTAACCTAGATATTGGACTTACGCGCACTAGGTCGACGCGGTGTATAAGAGACCTATTTACAAAAACAAGAAGTTGTCACAAACAAAACTATAAATGATCAAAGAAAACGGCCCAAATTGACAATCGCTCTGTGTCTCTTAAAATAATCAAGATATCGAGGTGCTGTTTGCACCTTGCACCTTTCTACCTTTCTAGAAAATAGAGAAACGCCTCAAAAGCGTCGAACTTGTCCCACCCCGTACACGTAAAAATAAGAAGGAATTTACCCGTTGCATATTAAATTTATTCAAGATTTGCTGGAATTAGGCGCCGCGCCATCAAAGGGGCTCTGGAAGGCGTAGCTCGCGAACTCAACTAATTCGAGACGTCTTCGATTCAGCAAAGACCAATAATTGGGGCTAAAAATATGTTTACGATTCGCATCGGTGGAAAGCGGAGCCAGGTCTCATTATTTATCTTCACAGCGAAATGTCTATTTGTACATTTTTCTTATTGCTTAATACCTCAAATATGTTATTGGAGGATTTGTAGTCCTCTAGGACGCCAGGGGCGTGCGGCTGGGTAATCGTAACCGTCGCACACGCGACATCGTTCAATTTTTATACGCGTTACCGCCACTACCAAAGGACGATAAGTTTGCGTGTTGATGATTTTAGCAAGACTGCAATTTGGAATGTTATTTATGAAATGTTTGAATACGTTTCAATAAAAATACTCCAACTCTAGAAAATATTAACAGCAATAATCACATTCTGCATTATTCTAAATAAAAATTATATCTTTGAAGGTTTCTTACATTATTTAAATGGACTACATAATTTGTTGTTTTGCGTTACAGTTTTAATAAACTGAATTCGCTGTCAAAAATAAATTAAAAAAAATTAAACCTCACAACACTGTACCATTTTGCACTTCGTAATTGCAAACGTAACGTCAAGGGACTCTGTCGTTGTTGCTAGGAAACTTTGTTAAACTGCTACCCCAATACAAGGCTTACATCTAATGCGTCACTCTAATGACGTCACTGTCAGTAGTTTAATCAGTCTCTAACCGTTGTAATGGACTTTCACTTGCTGTGCGTGCACCTTTATGTGAACGAAATAGTAAATATGGACCTAAATCTAATGTGTTTTTTTACCCAAGGGACAAAGTTTTGTGTAATTACAATGTGGTAAGTATGATTAAACCCAAATTTGCAAAACTTAGGCAAAAATCGAATTGAATGGGAATCCAATAGTCCTGTATTTTGCACAACACTAACTTTGTCTAGTTAAAGATGATTCGTCTGGACAAATACGTACGTCTCGAAATAATTTAAATCTTCAGTTCCCGCCAGTGCAGTATGTAAGATACTCAAAAATTGCTATATCATACAGGGTGTTAATGAACTTATGTCAAAATGTGACCTGCCTCAACATTGCAATGAGCCACCTTTTGAGAACTGCTGATTTTCATAGAAGATGTTCGATGTACCCACCATTTGCTTGCACACAAGCTTCAGCGCGACGTATCCAATTCGCTCGCACGCGTTGCAACATTGCCACGTCCTCTGATATTACTTTGGCAATACGATGTCGCAGTTGGTAGATGTTATGAAATTCCGTGGAATACACAACACTTTTCACATATCCCCACCATACTTCGCCATAAATTATGAGCATATCATAATATTCGCGATTGCTAAATAAAAGAGCAATTTTCAAAAGAATACTTGGAAGTACGTCTATAAAATGTACTCTCGAAAAACAGCACATTAATCGCTACAACAACAATGTATTACAAACTGACAGTCGAATACAGTCCGGCTCATAAGAAACCTACAAACTCGTAAAAGTGTTACAGATTTTTTTGAAAGTATTCGCCGCGATAAAATACATGTATTTCAGCAGTTCCAAAACAGTTTTAAACACATTTTTAATTAATTTTTATTCTCTATTACCTTAAACTTCCGATACAAGTTTATGACATCAGTTAACTCAGTTTTTGCTCCTTTTTCACTCCCTTTAAATTTTCATTAACATCGTGTATGACGACTTAAGATTATTACTATTATATTTTTTACTCACCTGTATGAAAAGCCAAGACGTTACTAGAGCTAAACTACTGTACTGCCCGTTGAATCGATAGTGATAAGCATAGAAAGAAAAGTGGTAGAGGTAGAAGAACCTGCAATAAAAAAATTTAATGAGTATAATGTGACGGGACGTAAATATTTTTTGAAATACATTAACGAACGAGATTCTGAATAATACTATCGCGAAGTCATCGAAATAATAATGATGTGTATTGTTAGTCTCTTTTTTGTGCGCCTTTACCAGTGTGAGGTTTTTTTTTAGTCATAAACAGTTCAATATTGTCCAACACTTGATTGACTCTTAAGACCGCAAACCGACCGTATTCCTGGCTGTCTATTTCCTTTTAAAAACAGTAGAAGATACACTTGTTTTTATTTAAATGCAACTTTTTAGAACAGTGGAAAAAGTATTAAGACATAGACAACAAAGAAAGTAACATGTGGTACCCAAATATGTAACCAATAATTAATTTACCTATACCTTTTTTTTTTCAAAAATACAATATCTACAGAATATGGCGGGAAAGTAGTTTCAAAATCTCATGAGTCGCGAAATGCGCGAAAGGCGTGGCGTATCCCCATAATTCTTCTAATAAGCACGTTGTGAAAACATTGACTCAGAATTACACCACGTGCCTCATTACAACCAGAAATGAACTAAGGCGCTCGGACATCAATAAAGTCAACTGGCGAACGTTCGTTATAATATTTTTATTGCTTAGAGATAGACTGCGAATAATGGATGTAATGTTTTTAGGCCGTAGAATAATTTAGGCGACGGTCGGAATTATGTTTCTGCGCATATCAAGGTCAAAGCTCATAAGATTTTGAAACAACTCTACTTGTGGCTTTAATTCCTAACCTTAACATTTTTTTATTTTTCAACGGCAATATACTCAGGCATCTAAACAATTTGGGACAAAATGCAACGGAAGAAATTTATACAGAAGGAATATGGTTTATTTTTGACAGCATTATGCGTCACATCCTAAAAATTATCCACTTTACGNCTCAGTTTCTGCTCCTTTTTCACCCCTTTAAATTTTCATTAACACCGTGTATGATGACTTAAAATTATTACTGTTATTTTTACTCACCTGTATGAAAAGCCAAGACGTTACTAGAGCTAAACTACTGTACTGCCCGTTGAATCGATAGTGATAAGCATAGAAAGAAAAGTGGTAGAGGTAGAAGAACCTGCAATAAAAAAATTTAATGAGTATAATGTGACGGGACGTAAATATTTTTTGAAATACATTAACGAACGAGATTCTGAATAATACTATCGCGAAGTCATCGAAATAATAATGATGTGTATTGTTAGTCTCTTTTTTGTGCGCCTTTAGCAGTATGAGGTTTTTTTTAGTCATAAACAGTTCAATATTGTCCAACACTTGATTGACTCTTAAGACCGCAAACCGACCGTATTCCTGGCTGTCTATTTCCTTTTAAAAACAGTAGAAGATACACTTGTTTTTATTTAAATGCAACTTTTTAGAACGGTGGGAAAAGTACTAAGACATAGACAACAAAGAAAGTAACATGTGGTACCCAAATATGTAACCAATAATTAATTTGTACCTTCTTTTTCAAAAATAAAATATCTCTACAGAATATGGCGGTAGGTAGTTTCAAAATTTCATGAGTCGCGAAATGCGCGAAAGGCGTGGCGTATCCCCATAATTCTTCTAATAAGCACGTTGTGAAAACATTGACTCAGAATTACACCACGTGCCTCATTACAACCAGAAATGAACTAAGGCGCTCGGACATCAATAAAGTCAACTGGCGAACGTTCGTTATAATATTTTTATTGCTTAGAGATAGACTGCGAATAATGGATGTAATGTTTTTAGGCCGTAGAATAATTTAGGCGACGGTCGGAATTATGTTTCTGCGCATATCAAGGTCAAAGCTCATAAGATTTTGAAACAACTCTACTTGTGGCTTTAATTCCTAACCTTAACATTTTTTTATTTTTCAACGGCAATATACTCAGGCATCTAAACAATTTGGGACAAAATGCAACGGAAGAAATTTATACAGAAGGAATATGGTTTATTTTTGACAGCATTATGCGTCACACCCTAAAAATTATCCACTTTACGGAATACTGGTTCGGAAAGCATGGGGTTAATTATCGGAGACTGGAAGCGGCGTGTCTGGGCCTTCCCGCTGCACGTGCCGCAGACATGTGACCGTATTTCACGTGTTCCAAACATGCTGATTGCTCTTTGCAAGGCGCTCCATGCAAGGGGCAGACGGAAGCGAACACAGGAACGGGACAGCAGAACGGAAAATCATAAATTCGATTGAGAGTGCGTACAATTCGTATTTTATCGTAAAATGTACGAATGCTTTACGTAAACTTCACTTATTCCCGCATTTCTTGGCCTACTTTTAATACGAAATTGATATTTTTAAAGTATAGTCTTCCCAATCTCAAGTGAAAAATCAAGACGCAGGAACTCGGCATTGAAATATTTAAAAAACATGTTCCCATATTTATTTAGCCATACCCATATACAGGTCTGGTCGAACTAAACGTGGAGGTGGTAGAAATGAGGTATACGCTCAGTTGCAGAATGCGCGAGCGGACAAACGGCGCACAAACACAGCCGCACTGGGCGACTGGGAAATAAATCTCATTTGTTGACAAGTGGTTGACAAATTGTCTAGCAGTGCAGTGAGGCAGTGCGGAATTAGGGGTGAATCAGGTAATTTTAATTTATTATAGGCACCTTATATCAATCATTCATATTACAATTGCTAAAGGGAGAAATAAGAGGGATTTTTTGTTTACTAATATTACATGGCATTTTGGAGCCTTTTTGAAACGGAACAAAACTAAATTTACCATCAAAATAATTAAAATATGTATATAAATACATAATACAAATTATTATAATTTTTTACCTTTAGTAGAAAACTTTTTTAGGGACGCCTATGAAACTAATTAAATTTTATTACTAGGCGTTTTTATACATATTCAACTGACTTAAATTTTAAAAAATTAAAAACTTATAAATATATGATACCTACTCACTGTGAGATAGTTTGCCTCGAGAAATTTTTTAAGCGTCTCGTGATTTATTTATATTCTTTTGTTCATCAAATTCAATAAAAAAATTATTTAGTTGGTTGATATTTATTTTTAGAGGTCGCTCGAAAACATTCCATAGTCTGTTTAGAAATGAAAGAGAGTAATAAAAGCTTATTATGTATGCAAATCGTAAATAAATGTAGTACTGGTGCTTATATGCAATATTTTTACATTATGTATTATCGGTATAGGATGAGGTGTACTTTTAAAAAAACTTTGTGCGATCGGACTGTACTAAATTGTAGCAGGTAGCTACAATTTAATCCCCGACAATCCGTCTTTGTCTATGCCGCTTCAATTTCTCGGTCCATTTCTCTTATAAGTAAACAATATAAAAACAGCATTTCAAAACATGAGGCTACTTTAAGCATCATAACCGGGTTAAGAGAGTTTTTAGTAATTCCAATAAAATTATTCAATATTATTATCAAAATATTTATTTAAATTTAATGAATAGACTTTTATTCCACACAAAAATATATGTATTTTGAAAATTCAAATTATGGTGAGTAAATGTAGTGTTGTATAAATGTACAATAAAGAAAATAAAAAAGTAGGTATATTAAAATTCATCCTCTGAATATTCTGATGAATTATCTTCGTCTCCTAGATTGATAACGATAGGTTCCACAGTAACGTCAATTAAATTATCGAGTTCCCACATTTTCTCCTCTTCTTTTTGTACATGATGTATACATCTTTGCCAGTTATCTGCAGTTACTCGTTCCAAGGAATTTTTTAACAAAATTTTCACGTCACTTAATTTAAACGTC